TTTTGGATTTGGGTGAAAATAAATTTTCTGGAAATTTAACAAGCATTGTAGGGGGGGAGATCCACAACCACTCTTTAAAGGTTCTCCGACTGCGAAAAAATTTGGTTTCCGGTTATATTCCTTCGGAACTATGCTCTCTCTCTCAAATGCAAATTCTGGATCTTGCAGATAACAATTTGACAGGAAGGATTCCTTCTTGTTTTGGAAAGTTTCCGATCATGGTGAATGCAACACGATTGATGTATGACTTAAGTGATGACTTTGGGGATCATGCACTTTTGATGTGGGTTATGCATGGGAGACTCTTTGAGTATTCTTGGGATCAAACACCTTTGATGGAGGTTGTGAAAGGGAGATACCTTGAGTATAAAAGACAACCTTTGAGACTCGAGATCAGTATAGATCTTTCAAGTAACAATCTAATAGGATCCATACCAGAGGAGCTAGTATTCCTGAAGGATTTGCACAATTTGAATCTGTCTTGGAATCATTTCTCAGGAAAGATCCCTGAGAAAATTGGACAAATGGAGAATTTGGAATCTCTTGATTTCTCCAAGAATGGCCTTTCAGGAAGGATCCCGAATAGCATGTCAAGTTTAACCAAGTTAAGCCACCTCAACTTGTCTTACAACAACTTGTCAGGGCCAATTCCAACAGGCTATCAACTCCAAACACTTGAAGATCCAACCATATATGCTGGCAATCCTCAACTCTGTGGAGCTCCACTCTTGAACAAATGCTCAAATGATACACTACCTCCGACAACTACCAACTTCAAGGACAATGATGAAGGTGCACTTAAAAGAATGTGGTTTTACATTGTCATGTTGTTAGGCTTTGCAAGTGGATTTTGGGCAGTCGTGGGAACTTTGATTTTTGTAAAAAATTGGAGATATGCTTATTTTCAATGGGTGGATGATGTGCAACACTGGATACTTGTGGTTATAACATTGAAGGTGGCACAATTCAAGAAGATGTTCAATGGCAACCAAGAATATTAGTGAGCTATATATGGAGTATGTTTTTGCTAAATTTATTATTAAGTTAGTTGGACAACCCTCTGTTGCAAGGTATAGTGTTAGGTCCAACTCTGAATGGCCCAACATTGAATTGGCCAATTTTAAATGAACACATAAGTATTAAAGTTTGTAAAGTCTTCAATAATATAACATACGCTATAGTTTTATATGTTTCATCAAAATAAAAATTCATAGATTCCGCAGAAAATAGAAAATTCTATACAAGGCTTAAAGATTGCATGGATATCTATCTTTCCAGTTTTGTTAAAAAGAGACTCTCATCGCCCAACCCATAGGTTTAGGCATAACAAATGCCATACATCTATAGAATAACCTCATAAATGTGTAAGGCCATCTACCTGCATATCTATACAATCTCCCATAAGGTTTTAATGTAGCCTTATAACTTTAAAATAAACAATTCCATTAACAAATCTTAATAGTTTCCAAATAACAAGATCAAATCTCTTAACCAAAACATAAATTGATTAACATCATATTCCATAAAACCAAATAAGCTTCCAATTGAGTTATTGCTAAATTTTTGCCAATTTATTCTAAGGATCTGTCAATCCCCATGCAAAACCCAATGCTCATATTTTTTCGCCTGAAATGAGATGAAATTTAAAAATGTAAGTTTAAGAACTCCGTAAATAGTATATCCATTCATCACAACCAAGCATAGAAATTTAAAATTGAATTTTTATTGAAACTAAAATGATAAAAGTACATTTCTTTCCTCAAAATCAAAATATTTTATTTTTCATCCCTTATGGCTGTGTAACAATTCACAATCCATAATCCACAATCCACAATCCACAATCCACAATCAATGATACTCAATCATCAATCCATACTACACAATCCATAATTCACAATCTATAAAGCCCGGGTCTATCACAATACCAACAACTTAACCCTTACATGGGTTAATCATACAACGAGGACAAACAAAAGAAATCGTTCCAAAATAACCATTTCAATAATATTGGAGAAACAAATTTCAATTAGCAACCTTCACATGGCCACAATCTCACCCCAAACTTAAATAAAAATATTGTGCTTGGTTAACAAATCATCTTATTTCATCATTAAAAACATTTTAGTAAAAAATCATTCTCTAAGAAATAAATAAACAAATAGATAAATAAAACAAAACTGGACAAAACCCATTCAAATCTATTGATTTACTTTAAAAACATTGGAGGGTATAATTATTTACCTTAATAACTATCTTTCAATTACAATTACCACACAGCTATTCAAAACCTAAATAAGCATCAAAGTAAATATAATACAATCACTAAGTAAAAGTTTATCTTGTACTTATCAGGCACTTACATAAAATAATTCTATAACCCTTAATACTGATATACTTTTCTTCAAATCCAACCATTTCAACACATACTTTTGAAAATTCCTCATGCCATGCCATCCAAATTCACAGTTTTAAGATCAATTCCAAAACCAATAGTAAAATCAATCTCAACCCACACGTCTACCCATTGTCTTCATTTCGAAATTCCTAAATATTTCACTAACAATGAACAATAAATCACCTCTAGTTATACTTGAGAACAATAGGCTCTGCAATGTCTTCTCCTCTGGTGAGAATTTGTGAGATAAAGGAGGGCCTAATAAATAAATATTGAAAGAAACTTTTAAATTCCACCTCCATTATTCTTTTAATCAACAAAATTTTAAGTTTAAGAAGACAATTTACCTTGAATTTAGTCTAGTATGGCTAGACCTCTAGAGCTACCTCTCCCTTACATGCGAGAGGAAGAAGATGATCCTGTTTCCTAGAAAAAGAGAAAGAACTGAAGCTGCCAACCTTAATCTGTTTTGGATTTTCACAAAAGGAAAATATTATCACTTAGTCCCTAAGCTTTAACTATAAGGTTTTAGTCCCTGAGTCACCTCATTATTATTTTAACCTCAAATTTAATCCTATCATATATACACCCACTAAGGGCTTTAAATAAATTATTTATATTTAAAACATATATATATACATAACCTTTGGTATTACAGAGATAGTAAAAAAAAAAAAGCAAGAGATGAAAGAATGAGATAGGAAGAATGGCTCAACTAAGTATATAATAATAGCCAAAATAAAGTTCTCACATATTCATGGTTAAAGTTTGGAACTTTCAATCACTCAGAATCAAATTGCTCAATTAAGTATCCAATTTAATGTAGCTCTTACGTAAAATTCCCAAGTCTTTAGTATTTCCTAAAACACATTTTCACATTGCATAAGGCATATGAACTACACACTCATAAAACACTATCAAGACTAAATATTGAAGTTCGTTATGTTTTCATATTTATAAAGTGTAATGCTTAATCCCACATAGGAACAAAAGTAGATTTTGAGTGGTATACACATATGGAAACTAATTAATATTAACAACTCAAATTTGAATAAGAAATATCATTATAGGAGGTAAACCTGGCAAAAGTGGACCCAATTTGAAAATCCAACCCAACCCATCCATTATGGGTCGAGTCATGAGTCCTATTGGTTAATCTGAAATCCAAAATGACTTGGATTGAAATTACCTAAACACAAATGGGTTGAGTCAAGGGTGAGTTGAGTCACTCGAAATTACCTGAGATTTTTTTAATTCAGTTTTTTAATAAATTACTTAAAAATTAATTTTAAATTTCTAATTTCCTAATCTTTAAAGTAGAAATAAAGAAAATACCCAAATCCTAACCTCCTGTCAATTTCACTTTCTCTAAACTTTTTCTCTTATCCACTCTTGCTTTTCCCTTCATCTTAAGCTCTTTAATCCTTCTCTTTGGTGGCACTTGTGTCAAAAATCAAATTATATAGTACATAGTGACTTGAGTCATATGGTATCACAAAAAATATCTTTAAAAAAAAACGGAAAGCAAGAATGTCTACTGAAAATTACAATATAGTGGTTGAGGTATCCTCATCACCATTAGAAGCATAAAGACAAAAACATCAAGAACATCAAGGTTTGTTCTTGGTGGCTAATTTGTTCTAAATTACTAATTCGTTCTTAATTAATAATTCATTTCTAGGTAATAAAAATCAATCCCAATCTAATTTCTTATTGTATTTATTTAGATATATTTTGAATTTGCTTTTTGAACTTTAATATTGAATATTGCTATATTTTTGTATAATACCCTTCTAAATATTGAATAAAACTGTATTTTAAGTATAATACATTTATAAATATTGAATAAAACTGTATTTTATGTATAATACATTTATAAATATTGAATAAACACTAGATATTAACATATGTATTAGATTTGTCTTTTGAACTCTAATCCTTCATGTCCCTTTTAATGAAAGTTTATGCCTTTATGAAATTATGAATTCTAAATATTGTATAAGCATTATATATTTGACATACATTTTAGTTCCACTTATATAATCAGTAATTTTTCCCTCTTCTTTTCTTGAGATTGGAATGAAAATTGAATAACGAAATGAAAATTATTGTTTAATAAAGTTTGTTAACTAAACAGTTAATTAGTATTACACTTTGTTAAAGAAACATAGAGAAAAATTTCTATATCTTTTAATTTTAATTTTAATTTTTTAGAAGTTAGTCCACTCGACCCAATCCAAGACCCATGTAGGTGGGTCATGGGGTTATCCCTTTAACCTGACACCCTAAAACCCAAGCTCCAACATGACTCAATATAAACCCATCCAATTTGACTTGTTAACCAGGTTGAGGGTTGAGGGTTGAGGGTTTAGGGTTTAGGGTTTAGGGTTGAGGGTTGAGGGTTGAGGGTTTAGGGTTGAGGGTTGAGGTTTAGGGTTTAGGGTTGAGGGTTTAGGGTTTAGGGTTTAGGGTTTAGGGTTTAGGGTTTAGGGTTTAGGGTTTAGGGTTT